AAAAATAAAATAAATAAAATATACCCAGAAAGTCCTCAGCCGTACAGAACTCTCTCTCACTCTCGGTAACATCTGCAAATGCCTTGTGTGTAGTCACTAGTGTAGAGGAGGGTGTAGCTGTGTCTTGGTGTGTCCCTAGAGGCTGTGTACCTACAGTGTGGTAAAGCTCTTTTTTTTTTTATACCCTTCGTTATTGAACATTGTGGAAGGTAAGGTGGGGTGGGGGTATATATAATGTTATTCCCTTGTATATCTCATCTGTCTGTCCAAAGTTATCATTTCCGTTCAATAACTTTTAGAACGGTAGCGTGAATCTAAAAGTGACATTGAGTGGTCACCTTCTCCCTAGTGTCATGCATTCAGTCTCATGTTTTATTTTTCTCTTGCTAACTCTTTCAGTGTCTTTCCATTTTATATTTTATTTTTAATGTTCTCTATTTAAAAGTCTTCACCCTTCTCACTCTTTATGTGCTAGACTTTATTCTCTCTCGCTAAAGCCTTCGTGTATCTCGCTTAAAAACGTGTATTGTCAAGTGCCCCCCCTGCCCCCTTCGAGTCCACCTCTAACTCTTCCCCTGGCTGCTTCTATACGATTTCATCCCTGACCCTGACTTCTTGACCATCCATACGATTCTAGACACCCTCCTCCCACCTGGCCTCATCCCACGAGTACACCCTCCTGACCCCTCCCCGCGACTCCACCCCTCCTAACTCCTCCCCTGACCCCTCCTAACAACTCAATCTACCCTGACCCCTCCTCCATTACCCCTCCCTTCTAGCCCATTCCCTTGACTCCTTCTTCCTGTCCTTTCCCCGACTTTCCCTCCACCCCTGACACGTCCCCGCTATCCCTCCCTCCCCCACCCTGGCCGGGCACCTCAAACCAGCCAGCCAGCCCGGGACGACACGCTGTTTATATGACGGTCTCTTATAACCGCTTCTGTCTCACTTTAAAACAGTTATTGTGAAGCGCAGACAACGCCGCCTGATGGCCTCTGAGTCTAAACCTCCACGATTTTTGTTTTTTTAATTTACTTATTTTTGTAATTGTCTTCGCCTGCTGGGGGGGGGGGGGTTATATGTTTCTTATTCGTGTTATGCGTAAGGGTGTGTGCGTGTGCTTAGAATCCGTAATGGTTTGCTTGCGTAAATACTATAGTGTTTATGGGCCTCTTAGATTACAGTCAGTTTTATTGTTTAACTTTGCCGTTTAGTGTCGTTTTCAGCTGGGTGTTGGTTGTTGAGTTTTGTAGCTGTGTGTCCATATTGTTATTCTATTCGTGTACTTTTAATTTCCCCAATATTACAGTTGGACTTGAGTTACATCACACATTTAGTCAAGTATTGTTACGTCACTGATAAAACTAACAAACACTGATCTGATAAAGCTAACAGACATCAGTCAATAGTGAATTTGTTATACTCTTTAAACGGCAGTGCGTTCACGAGCCTCACTTGAACCCGGCACTTGAAAAAATAACGTTGGGTAAACTTTTATTGTTGTGTGAGCAAACGTAACATGATGGACCTTGGTATGCTAATTTTCCCGAGTCCTGGATTCTATTTTCTATACCACAACTTTTTGTTACCTATCTGCCCTTTCTCTATCATTTATTTTACCATATATTCTTAAAATACAATAAGATGCAAATCATTTAACTTTTAGATTTGACGATAGAGATCCTGATATCAAATAATTTATATTAATTCTGAAGTGAAAATGTGGTTTATGGGCGTAGATTTACATCACTTCAGAACACACGAGGCATAAGGTTAAAATTCTAGACACCTGGGACGGATTTTGAAGGAGACTATCTATCATTTTTTGTTTGTTTGTTTCTCCACGAGCCCAGTAGACCTCGGCATTTGTGTGCAAACAACCGTGAAACAAAACGCTATACATACAATTTGATGGAACGTTAACTCTCGGTGCATGGAACCTTGTAAGCCCTGGATTTCCACCCCCCTTTTTTTGTATAGTATATTCTGAGGCTCCACTCCGGGCCTTTCACGACCACCTTAAAATATCTATTGTCAAGTGCTGAAAGGACAGCTTCCCGGGGACCTTAACTCTCCTAACGTGAAAAATCTCTAAGCGGAGAATCTCAAGGTTTTTTGTATTTATGCATCGTGCGTCGCCCTCCCCCTCCCTCACCCCCTTCCCTCCTCACCCTCTCGCTACGATGCACTTAGGCCGCTTTAAAGTGTCTATTGTTAAGTGTTGGAGGTACAACTTGGTGGCGCTGTGACCCTCTCTCTCTCTCTCTGCATGGTGAACTTTGGTGCAGTGATTGTGTCTCGGTTGGGTAGGGTGGCAGAGTGACTCGTGTTCGTACTGTCTTGATCTGTATCCCTCCCCTTACACACACACACACACACACACACACACACACACACACACACACACACACACATCACCCTAACTTATGTGGGCTTTGACATGTGAACGTAAAAGATCTATTTGTCTTACGAGTTTCCCAGAGATAACTTATGTTTTTTAATGATCACATAATGGGTTATTGGTGTAGAAATGAAGGTGATTCTGGGGTTTCAGGTTTAATGGGTTACATCTCCTAAAAAGGCCCCAATCTGACCCCTATTGACTGTATACCATTAGGATTGGAACCCATTAAGATCAAGTTCCATTATGACTAGGGTTCCTAATAAGTTGGAGCCTAATGAGACTACGTATATTACGATTAAAAATGGGGCTTATTGGGACTGGGGCCTATTAGGACGAGGTACACATTAAGCTAGTCGTTAGTTTCTTATTGCGGGACATGCTGCGTGTAGCTGGTGACGACGTAAGAGGCCAGAGATTACTTGTGTGAGCTGTACACGAGGTGATGTTTCCTGGACGATGTTGTTGGGAGTAGTGTTCTCTCAGGGTGATGTGAGGGAGGGGGGTTAGTAAGTAGGGGAGGCAGGAAATTTAGGCGGGGACTAATAAAAAACCGGTTTAGGCAAAGAAAACGGAATGGTGGTGTAAGGGATTGTTGTCATCGTGGGCAGCTTAAGAACCCAGCTTCGAGCATTGAAGCATTGGAAGGATCGACAACCGGGTCTTCCTCTGGCCGATATCATTTCTCCATCCCCCCCCCTCCCCTTCCTCCTCCTCCTACCCCTCCTTCTCCTCCTTCCTCTCCCCCTCGCCCTCCTTCTGCAGCAGGATGCACCCCACTCAGGGGGAAAAGTGACGTAATTGGGTGTTAGCTTTAGCTTTTAGCGGCAACAAATGCGAAAGATAAACCAATGAGGGAGGGAGAGGGGGGACGTAACGAGCAGAAAGTGGAGTGAGTGATGGATGAAAGTGAGACGAAATATATTAGAAAAGAATGATAATAATGTAAACATCTGGAGGGGGGGGGAGGGGCGTACAGGACACACACACACACACACACACACACACACACACACACACACACACACACACACACACACACGGTGGAGATTGTATCTAAGCTGTTTTATACTCTGGCACAAATGTAACGACCAAAATGACACTGAAATTGCACTGAGACTTAGCAAGACTTATTCTCTTATCAGCTCTTATCCCACGAAGGTCTGACAGCTCGGAGACTTATGAGACTTAAACACCTTCGACCATCAAGACATCGAAACTGCACTGTGATTACGTAAGTGGATCATCCTATGTACATCTTAGCAGGAAAAAAGTGTCACGTACGGCTGTCTGTCTGGTACTTGGGACCCAGACAGGAAATCTTGCCGCCTTAGGTTGTGGCAACAGTTGAGTGCGAGAGTAAACAGTGTAGAGGGAACGGGTGGGGATGGTGGTGGTGGGGGGAATGTTTAGACTAGGAGTTTAGTGGATAGGGGGTGGGAGGGAGGGAGGGAGACTGAGTAGGAGAGGGAGGGAAACTTGGAGGGAGGGAGTGTGAGTGAGTTAGTGAGAGGGAGGGAGAAGGAAGAGAAAAGGGGGAGGATTTGTCATAAGGGGAGAGAGAGAGACAGAAATGTTGGAGAGAGAAAGAGAACAAAGTGATCGTAATATAAAACGAAACAGACAAACAGACAGACAGACAGACATAGTAAAATAAAGATATGATGGTAGCATACAGCAGTACCCTCAACCTTTTCACCGCAACTGTACTTCATCATCATCACCATCATCATCATCATCATCATCATCATCATCATCATCATCATCATCATGAACCTTATCTTGAACCTTCCTTGGCCTTTGAGCTCCTTCGAATCTCCTTCTCCTTCATTTGAACTCTCCATATGGTGTGACTATTCTGACTATACTGAGTTTGCCTGTGTCTCGGACGATGATGATGTTACTTGTGCATGTTGTGTGGTCATGTGTGTGTGTGTGTGTGTGTGTGTGTGTGTGTGTGTGTGTGTGTGTGTGTGTGTGTTGACTGTTGATGGGTGATGATGGTTCGTTGCCCAGCTGGAGATTAACTCGTCCTCAGCATCACCAGTGTTGAAATCTTCATCACGTACACACTTATGCTAATGCACTCGAGGCCAAATTATTCAAAGGCCCTTACGCACAACATCAGATATTAGATAGACAAATTTGTGGAACTTCTCGGATCTTGGTACAAAAGCATCAAATATTCGGTAACTTGGCTAATTCTTCGGATATTCTTACATAGAGCTCAGGTATTCAGTAACTTCATTACGTCTTCAGATCTTTGTTCAGAAGCAGTCAGCAGCAGGTATCTTAACTATTCTCCGGGTGTTTTTAGGTGTGTCAACAACGTATGTTTAGTGTCTTGATATGTGGGAGGAGTCTCTCTCTCTCTCTCTCTCTCTCTCACACAAACACATACAGGCACTGGCGGTGGATTCATCCAAAGGCCATTCCGGTTTGTAATTAACATTTAGCCTAAGATACACTGGCCCGTAAATACAAAGTAAACAAAACCACGTTGAAACTTTGAGCTGTGAGCCGTGGGGAGGAGAGGGATGGAGGGGGGGGGGCAGAATGGGAGGAGAGGTAAGGGGAGGAGGTAGAGTGAAACTTATACCTAGGGTGATGGTCTGCAATTAGGACTTGAAAGTTTAAATTAGTATTAAACTTTGAAGGAGAGAAGGGGGGTGTGTGTATGTTTGTGTGTGGGGGTATGAGAGAGAGAGAGAGAGAGAGAGAGAGAGAGAGAGAGAGAGAGAGAGAGTTTTATGTGTCATACTCTGGGAAATCGCCATTGTTTCTTTTACACGTCAGAATCATTGTCACTATAAGCCTCTTTAATCTATTGTCTATTCTTTCTTTGTGTTTCTTTGGATATTATCAACTCAAAATAGACCCCATTGGACAGCTAACAAGCCATGGAATATAATAATCAGGTTTATCTTACGTTCACTCAACTCTCATCGTTCGTGGTATTGCATCACTTTAAAACCAGTGTAGACAGACAATCTAAACAATTCATAAGGATTCAATAAGTCTTTTATTTTATGTGAAAGTGGGATTCATAGGGGTAACGAGCCTTTAGGGATAGTGATGATACAGCTTATTATTTACAACAACTCCGGTACCCAAGAAAACCAACGTCCCTTAGGATAGGAAACGAGCGCTGTGTCCACTTAGCTACCATGGACCACCCTTATGTATGAGCTGTCATTATTAATTTTTTGGGAGTCTTGAAACAGTTTATAACATGTGGTGATATAACCTTTTTTTTTATTCATTTTATTTGGCTTTTGTTTCATCTCTTTTGATAGACGATCTTGACTCCAGTGTGTCTTGATCAGTTAGTTGTGTGTAAGTGATCAGTTAGTTGTGTGTAAGTGATCAGTTAGTTGTGTGTAAGTGATCAGTTAGTTGTCTGTAAGTGATCAGTTAGTTGTCTGTAGTTCGTCTCCTTTTATAACTGGAGCCAACATCACATTCTTAAAAGGGGTCTAGAGATAATAACTAAATCGAAAAGAAAGAGAAAAACATTGAGAGAAATCGAAAAAAAAACCGAGAAATCCCCCAGAAATAACTAAAAGGACGACTCGGCGGAAACGAAGGAAAGAAACAAAAGTAAAGAAGATATAATAACGAATGGGAGGAGATAACACATAAATAACAAAAAAAAACCTAATTGCCTCTCACCCTTCCCTTCCCTTGGGTTAATTGTGTTCTTGTGTCATACATAATAGAGAAGCTTCGGGGCAGGAAGAGGCTAGATATGACAGCTGGAGGGTGTCGCTAAATACGATTCTCCCTCATTTTCCGGCTTGATTATCGCCTTTAGTTACTGTGCTGGGGGAGGTGATTGATTTGTTTAGGTGTGTATATTATTCAGGCAGGTAAAGAGGGGTTGGAGGAGGGTGGGTTAGGCGAGAGTAAAAGGAGGATGAAGGGGAAAGGAGAGGGAGGGAAGGAAGGAAAAGAGGTGAGGGAGAGGAGGAGAGAGAGGTGAGGGAGGGGAGGAAAAGAGGTGAGGGAGAGGAGGAGAGAGAGGTGAGGGAGGGGAGGAAAAGAGGTGAGGGAGAGGAGGAGAGAGAGGTGAGGGAGAGGAGGAAAAGAGGTGAGGGAGGGAAAGAGAAAGAGGGGAGGGAGAGGTGGGAGGGAAGGAGAGGTGGGGGGTGTGGAGTGAACATCTGGGTACTAATACAATACCTGGTGAGGACGGAGACTAAGTAGCATAGTTGGGAGGTGTCTCTTACTGTCTCTCTCTGTCTGTCTCTTATCTCTGTCGCTTTTTCTTTTTCTTCCTTTGTCTAACTGTCTTTCTTGCCTCTTCTATCTCCCTCTTATCGTTTTGTCTTTGTCCTCTTCTATCTACCCGTCTGTCTATGTCTCTGTCTATGTCTCTGTCTATGTCTCTGTCTATCTCTCTCATACCAAAGAGAGAAAGAGCATTGTTTATTACTACATTCCCTTAATGTCTTCCCCTAGCAGCTCCCTCTCTTCCCACCCCCACTCACCTCTTCATTCTTCCACTCACCTCCTCTTTCTTCCCCTTACTTCCTCTTTCTTCCCCCTTTCCTCCTCTTTCTTCCCCCACTCATATCCTATATCTTCCCCTCACCAACAATTTCTTCCTTTCACCACCTCTTTCTTCCCCTCACCACCTCTTTCTTCCCCTCACTCACCCATCACCACCACCCACACTCCCCCAGACTCACCTGTCGTCTAGGGCCAGAGTGTGGCCGTCCTTGGTCCAGGAGACAAGAGGCTCTGGGTGACCTTTGGGTGGCGAGCACTCCAACACCGCCCTCTCCCCCGCCACCACCCGCGCCCCCGTCGGTGACGTTCTGAAGTCGTCACGGAGAACTGTGGAGAAGAAGAAATACAGAGTTAATTAATGTTCAGTGGTTCAGTGATCATGGTGAACAGCTTTTAATCAAGTGGTTCTTTTAAACATACAAATTAGCAACAGCTTATGGTAAAGAATATGTCAATTATTAAGTGATTATATGTAAAAATAGGTGAATTATCAACTGACTTGGGTAAAGAATTTAAATTATTAAGTGATTAGTGACCAATAAGTAAATTATCAACTGATTATGGCAGAAGAGGTTATAAGGCCTAAGGCTCCAATTTTCACTTTCAGAACCCCCCAAAATATGGAAATGATCATCAAATTATGTTAATGATATGTTAACCGTCAAAAGATTGTGGCAAAGATATGTAAATTCTTAACTGATTATCATTAGTGATATTTCGTGACGAGAAACTGTGGCAGAAATAAATCTAAAATATCACGTCTGTCCATCACCTGTTTACACAATCACGGTATTTAGGATATAGATATGTTTATATACTGTATTTTGAGGCCCTGAAACTGTAGACCGAGGGAAAAGTGAACACAGGTTAGGTATCGCCTCATTTTATGGTAATTTCCCGTTGATTGCTCTAATTATAAGCTGGTTGTGGTAATTAAATCACTTTGAGTCATTACCTAAAACTGTAGCTCGAAGGAAGGGTAATCATGAGTGTTAATTAACTGGTTATGGTAATTATTGTACTTAACTACGAATTTTTAGGTTGAATGGTTTAATGGGCTTTACTCCTAATGGGTCCCAGCCTATACCCTGACCCAGTTACAATGGATCCTAGCCTAATAGATCCCAATTGGGGCTCATTTACCCAAACTACCACAAACCCCAATTTTGTAAGGTCCAAAGGAAACTGTTTAACGTGTCAGAGTAAATTAAGGACGAAGTCACTTGTAAGTACGATTCAGTTGTTGTAATTAATTTGTTGAAGTGGACAAGGAGAATTAAACTCTCCTATTAAAAATGCGGTTACTGGTATAAGAGGTTACTTTTAGGAACAGGTAAACCATCACCAGGTAGAGATCTGTGGAGTGTAAGGAAGAGGAGGAGGTAATGAAGATAATGATTGTAACGCGACCGTACTCTACATAATGATAGTAACAAGTCTACGGAACTCTGAAGCCTTATTTCATTATACTCGTCTTTTATTAATTCACGTTTATCTTTGTTATATTCCTTAGTCCTTTTTTATTTTGTATTTTCTAAGGAATCAGTTTAAGATGTTGATAAGAAATATGTTATTGATAAAAAAAATTTGATGATAAAATGTGATTACGATGAGGAAAGTTAGAAGTAGGTGTAATAGCATAATGAGAGTAATGTGTAATGATGATTATTATTTGTAGTAGTATTAGCCAGAGTAGTGATGTATATATTATAGAAATAAAGAGGAAACGCAGAGGTGAAAGTATGGTTAGTGCTGAGGGTCGACCAGAGAATGGAAAATGAAAAATTGGTTAAAAAGAGAGTGTAGGATTTATAGATAGAAGGATGGATTGAAGGATGGATTGAAGGATGGAGTGAAGGATGGTTCCGGGATGGGTGAAAGATAGTGAAGGATGGATTGAAGGATGGAGTGAAGGATGGAGTGAAAGATAGTGAAGGATGGATAGAAGGATGGATTGAAGGATGGATTGAAGGATGGAGTGAAGGATGGACCAGAATAGAGGATGATGGACCTCCAGGTAGAAGCACCGTGTGTGAATGAGCGTCGAGTGTTTTTAGGGGAAAGACGTGTTGCTCAGGGGTAATACAGCCTCGTGTAAGAGGACAGAAGTAAAGTATATGTGTATTTAGCGACTTATTGTTGAAGGGGATCACGACCGTAAGACACATCGATCATAGTAAGAAATGAACGAGAGAGAGAGAGAGAGAGAGTTGTGTTTCCTATTCATGCTTTTCTCAAATGCTCATCTGCCCCCCCATCATTCTACTCCTCCATTCCATCTCTCTCCTTGTCCGCCTTCTTCCCCTTAGGCCAACTTTCCCTACTTTCTCGTCCCACTTCCCCGCCCTCCTCCGCCCTCCCGCCCTCTCTCGCTTCCTACCTTTTCCTGTAGCCCAACATGCCCACACCTCCCCTTCCACCTCTTCTTTCCTCCCCCAAACCCTCTCTCTCCCCTCTCCCCCTCTCCAAATAGGCTGGAGCCATCAAAGGAAGAAACAGCAATCATAAAGCAGCAGAAAATATTGCATCTTCCTCCCTCAAAGAAAGAGAAAATTGAATCAGCCTAGTGGTGTCCAGCGAGAATTGGGGAGTGGGAGGAGGGAATGTGGTTGAGTGGTGTCACACCACCGAGGGGGTTGAGGGGGGTATGGGGAGAGGGAGGCAGAGGAGGGTGTGGGGTACTAGTAATGTCGAGTGGGGAATGGTGAAGAAGGGTGAGAGGGAGGGAAAGGGATAGGACATGTCGAGTGATTTTCAGAGAGGAGAGGGGGAGGTGATTGGGATGAGAGGGAGGGAGAGTATATGCCTAGTGGTTTTTCATTGGGAGAGAGAGAGAGAGAGTATGGGGTAGAGGGGATATGAGGTGAGGAGAAAGTGGCTAGAGCCAGGTCACACGTTGATGATCCTCCTTGGGAGAGTTGAAATTGAGGTGATGCAGAGGAAGGGGAGAGAGAGAGAGAGAGAGAGGTGCTTAAACTGAAGAGGTGAAGAAAAGTAAATAAACAAGGGTGACACACACACACACACACACACACACACACACACACACACACACACACACACACAAAACAGAGGCACCAAGGAAACACAAAGCAACAGCAACAACAAACAGGCTGAGTGACGTTGAACATAATTGCATTGTGGCGACAAACAAGAGCGTCGTCTCCTTCACTACACGACGACACCCCCTCCTCATCCTCCGCCTCCTCTTCTTCGTCTTTGTCATTGTATTTGTCCTCTTCCTCCTTCTCCTCCTCTTCTTCGTCTTTGTCATTGTATTTGTCCTCCTCCTCCTCCTCTTCTTCGTCTTTGTCATTGTGTTTGTCCTCCTCCTCCTCCTCCTCCTCCTCTTCTTCGTCTTTGTCATTGTGTTTGTCCTCCTCCTCCTCCTCCTCCTCCTCTCATAAAACTGTTGACGACTCTTACAAATTGACGATTGTTGAAATTAGTATTACTATTACTATTACTCCAATTACTACTACTGCTGCTACTTTTACTACCACTAAAATTACTCCTTAGTCGAATTTACTACTGTTACTGCTACTTCTGCTGCCACAACTATCTATCACCACTGCCTACTACCAATATTTGCTTCTGCTGTACTGCTACTCCGTATTGCCATCTGCTACTTACTACTTGTTTCTGCTACTCTCCTTGTAGTACCTGCTATTATCTACTTTTATCTGCTACTAATAATCCTAAGTACTATTACCAGCCACTGCTATTTACTGCTATTTGCGTTGACTACTGGATCGCGGCGGCAGTCAAGCGGATAAAGCGCTCGCCTCCTGTTCTGGGGGGTCGGTTTTGATTCCCGGGCACTCCTAGTTCACCCAGCTGTAAATGGGTACCTACGTTTCCAACTTGGGGATGTGAATGCGGTCGAGTGCAGTACCGGCCATGCTGCCTTCTTGTGTACCGAAGGCTTAGTATACAATGTTATATATCCACACTGTCTTGCCTATGGGACCCACTTTCACTGTTAACTCGTGATAACGTTTAACTGTTTATTAACTTTTCTGTTCGTGTTTTTAAATATTTATCTTTCTTTTCGTTTATTTTCTTATGGTACTATTTCTAAATAATAATAATATTCTTAACAAAATTACGACTAATTATTATTATTATTATTATTATTATTATTATTATTATTATTATTATTATTATTATTATGAGAAACAGAAAATAAGTAATAGAAAAGGAAAGGTGCATCTCTATCGACCTCAGTTGGGTGGGTGATGTAGCCAAGTAGAAGTCGTGTTAAAGGGGCATTACTACCTGTACTAGGGGTGAGGTGGGGCAGAGGGGAGAGGGGTAACCAAAACAAAGGGGTCAGAAAAAACAAAGGGAACAAGCCTCGGGAGGGAGGAGGGTGGGGGGGGGGAGGGGTTGAGGAGGCTGATGCATCTTTCCAATCTTCCTCTTTATGCCAGAGGTCAAAGGTCATCATTCTGGTTCTGGCTGTGTTAAAGGTCAAGTTAACCGTATTCCACCACTGGGCTCTGAAGAATGTACAGAGAATCTTTGGTTGCGGGAAGGAGTCTCTTCGTTTATATACACCGCCATCCTGAATAGTGAATATGAGAGCGCTTATATCAATAGTAATTATAATAGTAATACGCATAATAGTAACAGCAATAGCAACAGGAACAATAGAGTGATAGTCTTCCCCGCCAAAGAGATACACACTATAAATTTGACTTAGTGAAGTGGTATAAATATTTGCCCTTTATAAAGACTCTGCTTTCGTCTCTCTCAGTCAAAGGACAACTTCAAAGGAATTCCAGCGCTGCATCGAACAACTTTTCCAATTGCCGGTGTCTTACAAGATGGTCTGTCTGTCTGTCCTCCCGTGTGTTGCTCTCGTGAAAAATGATACTGTCTTGAGATGCTTACCAGGAGGATAATAAAAAAATGTCCCCGAGTTTGGGCAGAAAATAGATAGAGATGTTTAACGATATACGGTGATATATAATGAATTTAATAACGATATACGGTGATATATAATGAATTTAATAACGATATACGGTGATATATAATGAATTTAACGATATACGGTGATATATAATGAATTTAATAACGATATACGGTGATATATAATGAATTTAATAACGATATACGGTGATATATAATGAATTTAACGATATACGGTGATATATAATGAATTTAAAAACGATAATACCCAATTACTGTACTTATAACTAGCAGTGTTAATACCAATAATAACAATAACGATGTTAGTTAGATAACAATAATAATAATAGTAATACTGATACTAATAGAGATGATAATAAAAACACATAATAAAACAATATAAAATAATATCC